AGGGGTAACTGAACTTTGGGGAGGGGTGGAGAATATGCCTTACATGCAGAAAGCCCCCGATTCAATCTCTAGCATCTCCAGGTACGGCTTGGAGAGACCCCTGCCTGAAACTGTAGATAATACTGAGCTAGATAGACTAATGGTCTGACCCAGAATAAGGCAGCTTCTTATGTTCTGTGTTCTTACCTCCTTAAATCCCTGTTCATTTCCATAAACTACATAAGCTTCTTGTGTTTATCTTAAAAGCTCGCCATAGCTTTGTCCTCTTTTATCTCTCTGCTCTCATATCCCAATACATCTTTGCTCATGAGCTCTGCTCCACCAGCCCCTTTATTTGCAACTGTCAAAAGCTCTCCTTCTCCCTCCAACTTTTCTCCCATCCTGCCTCTTCTGTTCAAAACACCCTCACCTATGTGATTCTACCTCCTTTGCTTCTTTCAAACCGTCTCTCAAAACTCATATTTGATATGAAGCCTTCCACACAAGCTGTACATCTCCATGTACTATTGTGAATAAGCTTCTTAAGTGTGTAATTGAAACTAATATTATTGTTGTTTTTATTTATCCTCTGAACTTGCTCTTGACTATGGTTTGTTGTTGATATATGCTTTGAAATAATATATGTTTGAGCTTTTAATAAACTTGACGATAAAAATAGATAAGCATGAAGTTTCAGGCTATAAAGACCTACAATTACTGGATGTTACAATGCTACTTTCAGACACAGTGTTTATTTGCTGTATAGAAGCAAAACTATAAGCTTAGTTGATGGAATTATACACATTTCAGGCATAACTTTGGATGATTACACACAGCAGTAGAACACATCAATTTTTACATTTTTAAATTCAATTTTAATTTATTGAGTGAATGTATGTATCTAAGTAATACAAAGTCTTTAAATGTTTTAAGGCCAAATAACAGTAATTTAAGTAAAGTAAGATATATTCTATGATAATTTCTAAAGGCTAAAAAGATCTCCCTATTATAGATCAGATCTGATGTTCTTTGAACATTGCTTTTCATATGATCAGTTGAACACAGAAGTTAACATAATCTGTTTTCTGTTTCCACATTGTTTTTTTCAAATCGTTACATGTTACCAACACACAACTAGATCTTATGAAGGATACAACCTTATCCTAGCTTCCCAGTTAACCTGCACTGTGCACTGTGGAAGCGATGAGACTTGGGTGGAAATAACAAAGGAACTGAAAGAACTGTGGAAATGGCTGCCCACTTTCTTTAAGCAGCAACCTGAACATGCTCTAACATGTGTGCACATGCACGTGTGCATTTATGTGTGTGTTCATGTGAGTACATGCACACATACACGCATTTGGGGACTAAAAATGTTTTATGCAATATTGGTTTGTTTCCTAAATAATGCCACTTAAATAACGCACAAAGCCATTCTACCATGGTGCGATAAAGACAGATTGATATTTTGATGAAAATGGAAGGTTCTGAAATGTTGTCCAAACATTAAACATTATCTGCTTCAAATATTGCACTTAAGAGTATAAGCCAGAAGGAAGTGATTGACATTTATACGAGCCTTTTGTGCAGATGCCTTCATTATGTACCTTTTTTTTGACAGTAATAGCATTTTATTATACTCTACAGCACCTTAACATACTCTTACAGGCATTTAAAAATCCCGTTGAGCAAAAGGAAAATTAACTCTCTTTATTCAGAGGGATTTCAAACCCTGTTAGTTTAGTATAGTAGGGTTTTTTTTCTTCTTCAGTCCTTTGTATATATAAAAGTTGAAAGGAAGTATTCTGATGTTAATTTGGATCAACCTCGCAAACATATGAATCCAGGTCTCTAAAAGGAGGCCCACTTGAAGGAGTTTTAAAGCTGAACAAAAAAAAGAGCCCTGGGGCTCTACAACTCACATTTAACCTACTTTCTTCCAAAAGGAACTGCTTTGGTTAAGAATAAACTTCCACTAGCTCAGGTTCAAACCAAACATGCCAACATATTAGTAAGGAAATTAAAGAGCAAATAGTAAGCCCTTTCATACCTTCTTTAATAAGGCAGCATTTTAAACTGTGACAAGAAATAAACTGCATTTTCAGAAACATTTTCGTAAGAGAAGAAAAGAAAATCACAGCAGTTTGAAACACAAAAAGAGAACACAGTTTATTTGTTATATTTCCATTCTGCTCTCATTTGAAGAAATTCAGAATATGATTCTGGCTAGAAGAAATGTCTTCTATGTAATGAGCCAAAAGAAACCTAGTCAATTAACTTTTTTATGTGCATGGGAAGATGGGGGGGGTCACATGTCAATAGAGTCAACATGCATCACTGCTATAGTGCAATTATCTTTGCTTTTGTCTATCTGTTGTACTTCCAAAACGATATTATTAAGCAGCTATGACAAAAGAGTATGCTTAATCAACAGTACAAGTAAATACAGGTTAGGAGTCATGATTCAGAAGCACAGCACCACATTCACTATCATAGTAGTACTTCTTAGACCCTGTTCACACAAGCAGGCCCTTGACTAGAAGACTGCCTTAAACAAAACCACATGAGCCCGGCTCCACACACAGTAAACTCTAAGCAACATTTATCCAATAGGGACATCCTTATAAAAATCCCTATTCTCATACCAAGGACTCCATCAGACATTGCTGAAGACTCTAGTTCAATGATTCTCACAGCAATGATGGTCAAAGATGGAGATTCAGGTGGTCTGCAAAGGTTGGAGATTCCTATATTGGGCCTACATTTTATTTATTTGTTCCTGACAACAGTATCACGGTCATTTTGACCAGGACAGGATTTTATCAAGCAGGTTAATAATTAACCAGAGCTGATTATAATAATAATACAGTACTAGTGCCATCTACAAATTCTTCCCTAAAATGTCGTAAGCAAAGGGAGTCCTCCTCACTATCAGAGAGATTGATTCCAGCTTCAGAAACATCCTTATACAAAAGAGTGACCTAAATATTTTGCTCTATAATTGTGTGCTTTAATTGTTATGATGTCTGCTCACCCCACTTTGGACCCAACCCAATGAATTAAATTCAACTTTCATTCCAGTGTTTTCAAAACCCAAAACATATCCCTAATTAAAATTCTTTGTTTGTAAAAATAAACCCCATAATAGATACAAAACTTTTAAAATGCTCAGTTTACCAAAAAGAAAGAAAGAAAAAGAAAAATAATATTCCCCCCTCCCACAATAGAGGCAACTCTCTCTGTAATAAGATCATGCTCCAAGTTACTTTTATATGTAAACACAGGTGAAAATCATTATTTCACAACTTTTACACTGCCATCTCCTTTTTAAAAGCATCTTCTGTACAACAGTAACATTACTCTAAAAATAATAGTCATTAAATCAGCTGAGAAATAAGAGTAGTATTAGAACAGCACTCTTAAACCACAGCACCTATAGAGCTACAGTACTCAGTTCAGCACCTCATTTTTAAAGCCCTCAGGTCCAATGAAATGCCAGGCCAGCTCTTTCATGTTCCTAAAACACAGCAATGGTATGCATATCTGTACCATATATTCAGAATAGCAGCCAACAGGAATGTATCCTATCTAAACAGGGTTTATAGCTCCCCAGTACATGACACTTTCCCCCCACCCCTAGGAGGTTGATGCACTATTGTCTTCCATTTACCTGGCTAAATAACACTACTTTACCTTTATGATTCAGGGCTAAGAATCTTTAGAGTTTTGTGCCTTACCAAGGCAGGGTCCACACTATTTCACTACTCTTTCTTCTCTGCTCAGGAGTTTGCATCCTTATTCCACAATAAAAATGAAACTATCCACTTTGATTCCCCCCCACTTCTCTCATTTTCCTGACCCTTTTCTTCTCTTTTAGCTTTCCTCCCTCTTACATACCCTCAACTCTCCTCCTACCATCTCATTCAGTGTCACCCTTGTGTAATCCCTTACACGCTCCCTTGACCCTATCTGCTCCCAACTCCCTGTCACTATCTCCCATGACAGTATCCCTCCTCTCAAGCACATAATCACTCATCTGCACTCATCTTTCCTACTACATTCAAAAACATCTTATATTACATAAAATCCATTGATCCATTCTCCCTCTCCTGTCTGATTTTCCATACCTTTGCCACCAGACTCCTGAAATATGATGTTTCTTTCAGCTGACTCAACTTTCTGACTTTCAATTCATCTCTTAATCCCTATGATTAGGCCTCTTCTTACTGCCCTCCAAATCACTGACAATCTCTTCATGTGAAGAAACACAAACGCAGGTTAAATTCTTTAAGTGCAACATCTAGACCAGCCATGCTAATGAAGATTTTGTGAACTTCACTGAGGATCTCCAGATCCACATTAGTGAGAACTAAGCCTGTATTTATCTGTCGAAACTACACCATAGCCAAGTCAAGATATATTGCTAGGTAGACCCGCTCCTAAGGCTTCACTGTAGGGATCATGCAGAAGAACCCCCTCTTTAAGGCACTTGCCAATGCCATCATATCTGAAATTAGAGGATGATCTAACCTTTGCTTTGTTAGATCCTGCAGCGTGGAACTTGTTTCTTCCAAATGTTTATCTTGGTTTTCATTCTCACATTTAAAAATCACTTTAAAACTGAATCTATACTAGTTGCGCATGCCAAAGGCCTACATACCCTTGATGGGTGTAGAGGAAGGGACTGTTTAATTTGTGCTGATAACTACAGCAATGTTATTACAAGGTACACAAAGTAACCACAACATATGCTCCTATGAACTTTTTTTGGGAGTAGTTTAAAACTTTCTGTGAAGAATCACACTCCCCCTATAAACAGTTACTGAAATATGAAATTGTAGTGCTTACTCTTAACCTCACTCTTTTGTCACAGATTTATATTTTAAAATTTTCTGTTCTATTTCAGGGTCACGAGAAACCACCTAGTATCAAGTCGGAAAACTGGACCATCTAGCTGTATTGCCTACATGGACTGGAAGCCACATTCCAGTGTTTCAGGAAGAAGAGATTCCCTGTCCGACCTGATAATGCTGGGATTGAACCTGGGACGTTCTGCATACAAAGCAGATGCTCTACCACTAAGCTAAAGCCCTTCCCCAAAATGTGAGTGTATATATATCCACACTTTTCTCCATAATAACATTCACATGATATGTAAATATTATTATATAATGTAAGCACTGAGTTTACTTCACTATATTTTGAAAAGCACCTAGAGAACTAGGTAGTGAGCGAATGCTATATAAATATTGATATTCACTTCTACTGAGCTCCAAACCCTCACAAAGGCACTTCGTTAAATATCTGAAAGAAACACATTCAGCTTTGTTCTTTTCTTCCAATGAAACCTCATGTCTTTTCCCTCTCTCCTCCTCAAGTAATAAATATTCTCTCTCTTTCACTGGTACTGACAATAATGTGGGTGAACACTGTATACATCTGTCATTATTAATGACTACAGCAGAAAGGAGCAAAAGCTCACTTCTAAGAATGCTTCAAAATATATCATTCACATTTTCTTATTTAAATATATTTTGCTAATGTCTCTCCAAAAGGCACAGAGATGACTCAAAGGATAAAACTCTGTGCTTAACCTAGGCATAGAAAATTATTTATTAGAAGACAGGGGAGATGTTACTTCAAAGGTCTGATTTGCTCATTGTAATGCAACTAGAACAAATGGAGAAAGATTTTTGTTGTAAGAAATGTAGGCATTTAAAAATGAGTGCAGGATGGCTCAAACTAGGGAGAGTAATTGGGGCTTCTCCAACTCCTGTGTGCACTGGGGAAGCCCGCTGCACTAACAACCTTTCCATGTTGAGCAAAGATACTAAGTTTGTTCTGTTGTACGTATACACTTATATGCCTCCTGCAATCAAGAACACTGCATTATCAGACAGGGAATTTTTTAAGTGTGTTCAGCTATGCCACTGTTCCTGCAGAAGTCTGAAAGGTTGGAGTGGAGTGGATACATCCAAACACTCGCTGCATCGCCACATGTTCTTTGTGACCACCTGAAATGGGTTTGCCTCTCTATGTTTCAAGTACTGTATATAAAAGGGCATCACTCTCACTAAAACAATGGATTGTTTCATAAGAACACACTATTCACTCATTTCATTATAGAAAGAAAACAATGATCTCTCTTTCTCTCCATGGAGACTTGCCATGGCCCCAGCATTTTTGAAAATATCAATACTTTTTTTGATGGCTTTGATGCTGTGTAAGTTGGCAACAAATCAGGTACTTTGAAATCTGTTACATTTTTTAAAATATAAATTTAATGACCTGGAATTTTTGACTGAATTTCAAATTGATATTTCACATTTTCAATATATTGCTATTCATACAGGATTTTAAAACTGGGACTACAATAATTGCTAATGGAATTAACAATGATATTGGCCAGGATCAAAAGAACTTCATCAAAGAGAAAGCTACAAACCAATATCCAAAAATGCCCTTGATAATGTGGAGTGGGACTTTTTATACAGAACAACACTTGTGAAACATAAGCACAATACTTCTGATTTATTATGCATGCTGGATAAGCAGCATTTGCCAACCTGAACCACTGCATTCCACTCAGGTAGCACTGTACAAAGAAGAAACTCTCAAGGAAAATAGATACTTGTGAAAAACCTCTAAGCATAGCTTTCTGAGTTAATAATGAAAGTACAATCCTGGGTAGATTTTCTTAGAAGTAAGTCTCACACAGTTCAATGGGCCTTACTCCTTGCTTAAGACTGTATCCTTTGAGTTCCCATTTTAGAAATCCTTGTCCCATATGCTCATATGTGCTTTTGTTACTTTAATTTTACCAGTATTGGGCTAGAAAAAGCTTCTCAATCATAGGCTCTTAAGCAGGCATAGGCAAACTCCAGATGTTTTGGGACTATAGCTCCCATCATCCCTAGCTAACAGGACCAGTGGTCAGGGATTATAGGAGTTGTAGTCCCAAAACATCTGGAGGGCTGAGTTTGCCTATGCCTGCTCTAAAGCTTTGTTAACTTCCTCTCAAAAGCAGATTGCATGAATTTAAGTGTCACTTTTCCCTCTCACACTATCCCACCAGACCCTCCAAGCGTCCCTATTTTCCCAGGACATCCCTGATTTAGAGAAAAAAATGTTTAATGTTTTATTATGTTTTTATATATGTTAGAAGCTGTCTAGAGTGGCTGGGGCAACCCAGTAAAATGTGTGGGGTATAAATAGTAAAAGTATCATTATGGAACGGGACGTCCCCTTTTCATCAAAGAAATGATGGAGGGTATGTCCCACCAATCTACCAGACCAAGATTAAATGCTACATCCTAAAAAAAATTATTGGTTTACAGGGCTGATAAATAAAAAAGTAAAGACCACCAACACAAGCAATTAATAAGTTCCTATTCATTTATGAAGAAGCCAGCTGGTACTGCTGTATTGGAAAAGATAGGAAAGCAAGGATGGTAGAGTGCAGAATCCTGTACCTCTCATTGTTTATGCTCCTAGAGAGAAGAGCAATACCTTTCTCTGCTGATTATCTCCCACACCACCGCTAAGCATCAGAATGCAACATGAACACAAGTATTGCTTCTGATACTGTAATCCCATTTTATTTCATTAAAAGCAAACTAAAATGCTGTAACTGAGCCCCTAATATACATTTATATTATGTGCAATTAACTTTAAGCTAGTATCACCACCAGCAGCAGAGGTAATATCTTATTAAAGATAATTCAGACTGATAAACCCATTACCAAAAAAAGAGAAAAAGATATGAAACATAAATACTAAAAAATACACAAATAGTATCACTAATCATTATAACTGTACTGGATTATTGGTGTTATATTAATATCATTCACAGGGAGCAATGCAAAGTAAGCCAGCCTTGGTTGATGTATTTGTATGTAACTTGGCGATCCTGTGTTGAAGCGCAGATTTCAACAGTCTGCCGACAAAGAACGCCCAAGCCTCAATCCATGCTAGCACACTGGGATTTATTTTACTGGATCACAGAATTTTAAAGTTGGAAGGTACCTTGTAGGACATCTAAGCCAATCCCTTGCTCAGCTTAAGATCTAAAATGCAGGTTGCATCTACAGCATCCCTGACAGATGGCCATTTAGTCTTTGCTGTAATACTTGCAGTTAAGGAGGGTCCACCACCTCCCAAGGCAGTCTGTTCCAGTGTCAAACATCCATTAGGATGTTTTCCTGATCTCTAATCAAAATCAGTTTCTCTGCAGTTTCCACCCATTAGTTCCAGTCCTGCCCAGTTCTGCTCCATCTGATGTTGTGTAAGCTTTCAGGTATTTGAAGCAACTACAGTGGTACCTCAGGTTAAGTACTTAATTCGTTCCGGAGGTCCATACTTAACCTGAAACTGTTCTTAACCTGAAGCACCACTTTAGCTAATGGGGCCTCCTGCTGCCGCCGTGCCAGCGGAGCACGATTTCTGTTCTCATCCTGAAGCAAAGTTCTTAACCTGAAGCACTATTTCTGGGTTAGTGGAGTCTGTAACCTGAAGTGTATGTAACCTGAAGCGTATGTAACCTGAGGTACCACTGTATCATGTCTCCTCTCTACCTTCTCTTCTCCATACTAGAGATACCCAGCTACTCTAGCCATTACTCGCAGGACTTGTTTTCCAGGCCCACATCATGCTGGTTGTTCTCTTGGTATATTTCAGAGCTTGGCATCACCATTTGAATGGTTTGCAGTAAAACTGCTGGTACACAGCTGGCAAAAGTTATCCGCCTGAAGCTTCAAAGAGCAGTTGCCAATCAGATAAGACACTTGACAACATAAGCCAATGTTCTGCATTGATAACATGGTTTCTATTTGTATCTTACATTGCACTAACCTTCAACCTTTAGTGGGGGGAAAGGAAACTCACAAAATAAAGTTGATGTATACACATGATTCAAAGCCTCTGTTGGCAACTATGGGAATGCCTGCTTCATGTCTTATTTGTGCCTGTCCACCCAGAGAAGAGGTTGGAAGTAGCAAATATGGGGCATATATTAGACCTAAAACTGTGAACACTTTCTGTCTAAATTATTTCCCCTCTAGCTTTAGCCACATCAGCCTCTTACAGTTAACCTTTTTTCTTGAGCATTCATCCTGATTTGTTCGTGCGGAGGTTATATCAAGGTGCATGAAGCAACTATTTCCTCATACTTTCCAGGACATTTTGCTTTGGATAGTGTAACATATTCTAAATGTAATTAACATATCCAAACAGTTGCATCATAATAGTTTGCCAAAGCACCAGAGAGGAGTGGCTTCACAGAAATATCACTGTCTTTGAAGGTATTTCTTTTCACAGCCTAGCTAAATCAATTGCACACTCTACAGATGTTTCATTTCCTTCCATATTTCTTTCCATCAGCAGCAGAAAAACTGCAGAAGTTATGTTTTCTCTGGAATCTAATAGTCAGTTGGTTGTTTTAACAAGATGTATTTAATCCACAAGAGTACTTAAAAGCAAAAGACTACTGTAGTGTTGATAATGGCAAATGCCCACAAAGGGCCTATAAACGTTAGTCACTTATGAGGTGGCAAAGACATTACACTCTGTGTTTTCCCAAGTCTGTAGTACTTCATGGGCATATTATTCTATTTCTAACCAGTTCATAGGTTATAACTTTATGTTCACACTCTACATAAGCTATGCTCTGTAAATAACTGTCACTTTTCTTTAGCATTTTATGTTTATAAAAGTTGTCACAAAGGTTATTTTGACTTACTAAAAATGGGATTTTCCACAACATAAATTTTAAGGCTTAACTAGATTGGGAGGCCTCTGTTAAAACCACTAATATGTTCTGCTAAGTCTCTCTTGTCTTCACTCAGACTCCCTACAATGTTTTAAACAGTTTTATTGACATGTGAAATTCTGGAAATGTCAGCTCTTGGCAGCACTGCAGTCTACTACTGTTATATTAGCAGACTAAGATCAAGCATAATATCAGTAGACATAGGAAGTGCAAAATAATATTTTATACAGCTTTTTCCTTCATTAAATCTTTCAGAATGGGTATATTCACAGTCTATGGTCAGGAAACAATCTCAGTGGCTTCCCAATCATACCCTATTGTA